GCTTAGGCTGCTGCCCCCGTGACCCCGGATAAGAGGAAGAAATTGGATGGATGGTTGGATGGATGGATGGATGGATGGATGGATGGATGGATGGATGATGGATGGATGGATGGATGGATGGGTATTGTACAAATACAGTACATAATATAAATGGTAAATGGCTTGAACTTATAGCACTTCATCAAATCCACATGGACTCCAAAAGCGCTTTACACTTCAGTCATTCACACACTGATGGTGGCAAGCTACATTGTAGCCACAGCTGCCCTGAGAAACACTGACAGAGGCGAGGCTGCCGTGCACCGGTGCCACAGTACCCTCTGAATACCATCAGTAGGCAACGTGGATTAAGTGTCTTGCCCAAGACACAACAACTGAGACAGCTGGAATGGGGAATTAAATTGGCAACCTACGGGTTACAGGACAACTTCCCTAACCACTCCACCACAGCCGCTATTAATTAATAGTAATTAATTTTAACTTGCATTGCTTCAGTGACAGAGATCCACTGAATTTTCTGTGGCTGATTTTGTTTAATTAAAAAAATGTGTAATGCACTGATTTTTTTGGACAGTGGCCACAGTAGCTTGGTGGTCTGTGTCACAGTCTTGTAAAAGGCTGCAGGTTCAAGCCCAGGGGCATCAGGAAGAATATCTGGCGTATATATATATATATATAATAACTTGGGGATCTAAAATAAGCTTTAACTAAATAAATAAAATGTGGGCCACAGCAGGCTGGTTGTAGCAGCTCATGTTGTTCTCAGTTGATCCACAGACATGGCCGATTGCTGATTTAAAAAAATATTTGACATCAGTAGATTAAGATCAATCAGCTGATTTATCGTCTGTCTCTGATCAGAGATAAACTTGAGTTATTGACATTTTCAGAACTAACTTCAAAACATATGATGAACCAAATTTTAAATTAGTGACTGAAATACACATTTTTAAATCATGTTTTTAATAAATCCTATTCAATTTAAACTTCGAGGAGACTGATTATTTGATAAATGTTCCTCCTGTTGCAGGATGATGAAAACTTAAAGCTGAAGGCAAAAATAAAAGAGCTGGAAGAGGATCAAGCCCGGCTGCAGAGGACCACAAACATCCAGCAAATGCAGACTGAGAAGCAMAAARCTTTAGCTGAGGAGTCAGCTAAAAACTGTGAAGGACTTCAGCTGCAAGTTTCTGCTTTGCTAAAGGTTTAGTGACCACTGAGGTGGTTCAACATCAAACTAYCGACAAAACTACAGTCAACTTCTCAGATCTGATTTCTTTATTATTGTTWTTTTTCTGTGCAGGAAATTGAAAACATGAAAAGATCCCAAAAACAAGCAGCAGCTCTCCATGGCAGCGTGGAGGTTCGCTTGAACAGAGCTCTGGAGGAAGTGGAGAAGTTAAAGTCACAACTGGACAAAACAAAACAGATGAACAAGGTGAGAGGATGGCAGAAAATACATTCTGCTCAGAAAAGTTTAAATATTTAATTTGAACGGCCTTAATGTGACTCACTTTTTAGAAATAGTTCAGTGATTTTTCACAAAAAAGACGCAAAACCTCTGTATAACATACCTCCCATTAATAAACAAATAAATAAACAGCTTTATTTATTCCAGAGGAACTGTTTTAATAAAAAAAAAACAGATTCTGATCAACATTCACTCATTTTTATTTTTAATTTCTGTTTAAATAAGGACAAAATAAGCGAAGAGCATCAAAGCAAAGAAAATCTACTCGCTGAGAACAAAATGCTCAAGAAACAAAAAGCAGAGCTTGTCGTGGGTTTTAAGAAACAGCTCAAGCTGATCGACATTCTCAAAAGACAAAAGGTAAGCAGCTGGATGTGACTCTAATAATCCATGTTGTGTGTTTTTCAATTAAAACTAAAAGGTGGCTTTTTGTGCACAGATGCACTTTGAAGCTGCCAAGCTGCTGTCCTTCACAGAAGAAGAGTTCCTGAAGGCTCTGGACTGGAGCAAGTCATGACGCTTTWTGAAGTCAGACAGCTTCTTTCTGAAGATAAGTTTGTGTCACTTGATGATCTAATTGTTCAAATGAACATGATGTCGAAACCGTTCAAATAAAAACATATCTTCAAATATACCTTTTGCTGTTAGTTWCTTATTTCAAACCTCAGAGTGGCTGAAACATTTTCACTGGAGCCTTAAAGCGCCCTCTAGMGGCGAACGGGAGGAGGAGCTTTGAGTCGTCCTCGTCTGAGGAGGCATCAGGCTGGGGTGGCTCGAAATGTTTTCTGAAGTCCTCATCAAAGTGTTGCAGGTCATCTTCACGCAGCAAGCCCTGGAAACACATGCAGCCAGGTTCATGGATGGGTTCTACAGTCGGGGTGTGAATCTGTGAGGCGTTCAGGGTGCACTTGGAGCTGCGTACCTTTGGGAGGTATCCGAAGAGTTTTGTTGCGTGACGCTCCAGAAGTTTCTTCCTCTCCTCCTCAATTATCTGCCTACGCAGCGCCTCGTTCTTCTGCTCCATCTCTCTTTCTTTAGCTTCCAGTTCCTGGAAGAAGGACAGGCAGATGTTTTTTTTAAATAAATCAAAACAAAAAAACATCTGATTATTGCTTTAACTTTGTACAAAGTGTTCAGTTTTTACCCTCTGAGCCTCACGTTCCCGTCTTCTGTCCTCAATCAGTTTCTCCACCTCACGTTTGTGTTCCAGTTGCTTCATTCGACGCTTTTGAGCGTTCATCTGCTCGATCCGATCGTCCTCCGCAAACTTGTCCATCATCTTTTGCCTGAAGGCCTCCTCTTCCTCTTTCTCCTCCTGCCTCTTCATCTCCTTAAACGCCATTTGCTCCTGGAAGGTCTGCTGCAGCATGAGTCTCTGTCGGATCTTATTCTCCATCTCCTCCTGTTAGATCAAATAAAAAAGAGTTGTTTATTAAACTAATTTGAACCGCACATCATGCAGATTGTTGTTTGTTTTATAAGTTGCTGAACTACAGTGAAAATCAAAGTTCTTCATGAATGAACAGCCTGAGCTGTTTACACTCTATGAAATAAATCAAATATATCAGTTAATTGGTGTAAATATCAAAGTAATCAGATATGTGGTGTAGTGATCTTTACAATTTCTCTCTTCCTGTTGGCCTCCTCCTCCTCCTCCAAAGACAGCTCCACTCTGATCTGCTCCATCTCTTCACGCTGCTGCCGCTCCTCTTCCATCTTCTCATACAGCTGGAGAACAAAAAGATCAAACGTTTCTTACAAATTAACTTCTAACAACGTGAGGGAAAAAAAAAACTTCTCTCCACCTTCTTATAAAGATGCTCCTTGGCTTCTTCCCGCTCTCTGATCTTCTTCATCCTGGTCTCCTCCATGTTCTGCTTCTGCTCAGTGAACTCCATGATCCGTCTGTTCTCGGCCTCCATCTTCTCCTGCTCCATGCGCCTCCACTCGGCCTGCTGCCTTTTAAACTCTTGGATGTACTGGTGAGTGACTCGGGCCTTTTCCAGCTTCAGCTCTCTCTCTCTTTTAGGGAAACATTTCATGAAAACGATCCTTGCTTTTCTACAGACTGTGTGACAAGCGATCATTCAAAAGTATCCATTCGTGTTGGCGTTAAAGAGTGGACTGACTCACGTCTCTTCCTCTTCATAAATCTTCCTGATGATCTCGTCCACCAGCAGCTTCTCTCTGAGGAACTCCTCGTAGGTCTCCTGTCTCCGGCGCTCCCTGTCCACAAGCTGCTGCTCCAGCTGTCTCTGATACTCCAGCAGCTCCTCGTGACGCTTCTGCTCCAGCCTCAGCTGCTCCGCGGCCGCTCGTTCATTTTCACYCTTCATCTGTCGAGCGTAGTCCGCTTCTTCACGCTGACATTTCACAGGAAACACAAATTTAAAGGGATCCCTGATTAGTTCTAACATTAGACTTTATTTGATAAACRTATATTTTAACTGTAAAATAAWGACTAAAAATTCTGTAGGCTGTTTAGTTTTGTAAATTTTTAAAAACATTTTTAACATGGACGGAGCCATTTTATTTACACGCAAAGCATCCTGGGTAAATGATGATGTGGATAGGTCCTCAGTGTGAGCGAGCTATATCCACCCTGAAGGTTAATCTTGGRCAATATCTGATGATCGACTCTTTTAAATGAAACCAGAGAGCGTTGACAGAGAGGAGRAGGTAGAAATGACTCAGCCTGTAACTGAAAATATGGATGGAGGACAACAGAGCTGCTTCATGGAAGAAGAACCTCAGCTTAGCCTGTTAGCTTTAGCGCAGACGCTATATTGCCTTATATGTGTTAGCTCAGCACTAGCATGACAAACAAGCTAAACTGAGGTCCTCCTATATTTTCAGTTGCAGCTGAGTCATTTTTGTGTTCCCCTCTCTGTCATGTGGATGGAGGACCTCAGTGACGAGAGGAAAATGTGTAGCGCTGAGCTAATAYATATATGGTGATAGCGTCGGGGCTAACGCTAAAGCTAACAGGCTAAGCTGAGGTTCTTCTTCCATGAAGCAGCTCTGTTGTCCTCCATCCATATTTTCAGTTCCAGGCTGAGTCATTTCTACCTTCTCCTCTCTGTCAACGCTCTCTGGTTTCATTTAAAAGAGCCAATCATCAGATATTGTCCAAGATTAACCTTCAGGGTGGATATAGCTCRCTGGCAGCCTCGCACCGAGGACCTATCCAYGTCAYCATTTACCCAGAATGCTTTGCGTGTAAATAAAATGGCCCCATCCGTGTAATATATTTTTAAACTTTTAGTTTAAAAATGATAAAAACTGAACATTCTACAGTATTTTTACAGTCTTTATTTTACAGTTAAAATACATGTTTATTAAATAAAGTCTAACGTTATAACTAATCATGGATCCCTTTAATTATCTCATCCCTTATTTAAAAAAAAGTTTCTATTTTCAGCCTGTTATTTTTGTTAGAAAGAATGATCCTTTTCTTTATAAGAATATAACGTTTCTCTTGGCCCTAATGCAAAGAAAAGTAAGAATTTTATTTTAGGTACATGGTTTTATAGCCTCTCTTTATTYACAAGCAAACGTTTAAAACATTGGAAACAATTTCAAGCATGAAACAAGCGAGAATCCCAACCTTGGTCTCAATCATCAAAACTTCTTTCTCAGCAATCTGTGCAGCTCGGCCCTTGTTCAGATACGCTGCCTTCAGTTTTGCTTCCAGCTCTCGAAGCTCCAGGCTGAACATTACAGAGAAACAAACGGTGTTCACCAATCTGAACACATCTGGGTTACACATCCAAGTAATCAAYGTTTACCTGTTCTCTCTGATGTACTGCCTCAGCTTCTCATCTTTTTGTTTCTCGTGGTCGATGCGGGCCAGCTCTTTGGCCATCCTCTCTTCCTGTTCAAGCTGTTTTTCTCTGTCAATTCTCTCCTCCTCTGCCTACAAGACAGWTTAAATAATTTTACGTACAACTTACTTTAGCTAAAACACAATGGATGCAAGTTTGACAGTGCCAATAAACATTTGATAAAACAAGTTCTTTATCTAATCCAAGAATCAGATCTAAAAGAAACATCTTCAGCAGATTTGTTTGGCAAATAAAAATGCARAATAAAAATAAAAAATCTAGTAAAGAAACAGGACCCGAGAGATCCATCATCTTTCAATTGTTCGACTTTATGTCTAGTTTTCATCTTGTAGTTCCTTTTGGTGCTAAAATACTATTTCATGTGTCAAACTGTATTACAGGGCTATTCAACTGGTGGAGTGACCAAAATGCAGCCCGTCAATTGGTTCATTCATCTCTTAAGTCCAAACCCCCCGTTTTCTTCTTTAATTATGAGTTCATTTAGTTAAACATACAAATCTACAGAAACGTCCGAATCTTGGCTAGAAGCTGGTAAAAACATTTCTATGATTATCTAAGACAGTTAAAACAACAAGCAGTTGAAGATAAAACTATGAAAGTGAAAATAAAATTGGTTTGAAAACCTGGCAAGTCAGAGAAGTCAAAATATTATGTGTTGAATAGRAGGCATAATGTGTTATTTTTGTTTTTGATAATGTTTACTATCACTATTTTTTTACACAGGGTTCTGTATCTATGATTAAATGCAGCAAAAATAAACGATTTCAAAGGTAACAGATTTTTTAATACTTGGTTTATTTACATAATGATTTTAATTGCTGGATGCTCGGCCCCTGTTGGTCTGCATTACCTGTGGCCCCCTGAGCAAATTTAGTTGAATAGCCCTGCTGTATTACCTTTGTCATCCTCCCATTTACTTAAATAAATGGGAACAAATTGTGTCTGTATTTATTTATAAACTGGATCTACATGGAGCAGCTTTATGAGAGATAACATGGACGATCAGCTTGACAAACCTTTTGCAGAATGAGCTCTGTCTGCCTCTCCTGGAGCTCCTGCTGCACCTGCCGCTGGTGCCTCCTCCGCTCAGAGCTCGCCTCCTCCCGCATTCCGGCCAGCAGCTGCCGCTCTTTCTCCACACGTCTGGCGTCGTCTTGTCTGTGTATCTCCCGAATCTGTCGCCGCTGCTGCTCTCTGTACACCCAGTTCCGACTCTGATCCAAAGGGAAGGAAACACAGGAGAAAAACAAACACTGAACCGAGAGTCACGTGAAAGAGTCAGCTAGCGTAGCAGCTAGCTGCGAAAGTGAAGCTAACCCGGTCTGATTAGAAAGATTTACCATGCTGAGTWGTTTTTCGTTGTTTCCTCTTAACGTGACTCCTTTTTAACTTTATAAACAAGTTACTATGAAAATAAAAAAACTAGTTTTAACTAGTTTACGCTGAATGGGATCCTAGTCTTCCTCGCGTTAATTGTGCTTAGCGTTTCGTTGCCTCGGAAACGGCGCGGTTTCCTGTGCTGAAGCCTCAGCCAATGAAAAGGCAGGAAGACGATGGCGTAATGTCCGGGAAAATCAAAACATTATTTGTCCCACCCACCTTCAACTAATTTCTATAACTTATTTGCACTTATACATATTTAAATAATCGAGATATAGTGGTACAAAAATAAAAAATGATGTACCAAATTACATGTTTTATTCTATTAAATGGTTGAAAATACCGGAAGTAGACACCAAAAATAAAAGTCTTATTACAAACTCTGTTAAAGCAGAGGGGAGGGGGCCTACATGCAGTGATTTTTGATCCTAAGCGTATTTATCCAAAAAAAAAAAAAAAAAAAAAACCCTCAACCATAGTGGAGTAAAACTGTTAAAATAATATACCTAAATAAAAATAAAACATCTCCAAACCTGAAGAACCCAGTATGTTTAACAGTAACATAAACTCACAAAATGTGTCTTTTATTCAAGATTTACTTACACAAGAAAAAAAAAAAGTCTGGATATGTCAAAGGGAGAACACAGGAATGTAATAAGGACATTTATATACTAACTAAAGTATTTACAAACTTCCTCTACTGTAGACATACATGATATATATATATATATATAAAAAACAAAACATTTTAACAGTCGTGTGACTTTTGAGACAGTAACCCATAAAAACAGCAAAAAAAACTATGTGTTCTCAGTTTTACAGAAACTCGGCCTATTTTCAGAGTAATTACACAAAGAAATAAATTGTTTAACCAGTATTTGGGAGTATATGGAAAAGTAGAGCATTTGCTTCAAACATACAACGTATACATTCCTTTTACAAGCACAAACTTTCAACATAGTTAAGACAGTAAATGTACTTGGGTGCAGTGCTGTAAAACTTTTGTTTTATGTCTACAATATTTGTGGTTATTTTCATATTTCGCTACTGTTCTTATCAAGACACACAATTCACCAAGTTTAACTGGAACCAGTTTCCTATAAACAATCAAAATGTAACCAAAAAAAAAAAAAAATAAAATAAAAAAACATTATTTCAGTTACATGTTTTTGCTTAATAGTAATAAATTATTTGAGTGAAGACAAACCACTTCAGGATGTTGAGAACAGGCAGGTGATACAAGAGTCATTGAACAATATTGTGCGTCATTATTTGCAGATAATTTAAACAGGTCTTCATTATTAGTATTGGCACAGCAGACTCTGTATAAAAAAGGAGAGCAGATTTAAAATCACATTCAAATAAGCACAGGTGATAAAGTAAAAGCAAACTACAAATGAACAGAAAATAAAAGCTGGTGTTCCCCTTAAAACCTACTCTAGAACAGCTTAAACGCAAATTATCCTTGATTCCTAATGGGCCAAAAAATCTGCTTAAACAGTACAAAAATAATTAACATAATTTCTGAAAAGATGTTTGTTTGTTTGTTTTATTTTTTCAGGACAGTTAACCTGAACAACTTGAATTGTTTTTTTTTTTAAACTTCTTTCAAGGGAGAAAAAGTTTGTGTAGCAATTTAAAATAATACTTCAAAGACAGGAGGAAAAAAGATGTTTGCCACTTAAGGTGCTGCCAACTTTACAGATACCAATATCTGAAAAATACAAAAAAATTTTAAACACCAAGTTTCACAAAAGACTGATGTCTAGAGGTTGGTTATGCACTTTCTCCCCAGAAAAGAATTTCAGTGAAGTATTTTCAATTAGAGATGTTTTGAACACAAGTAGGCAATGTGGAGAAGTTGCTAAAACAGAGCCAAGCATAAGAATTTGATGTTTGTAAAGTAAAATTGAAATGATGCGCAGATCTTTAACACAATAAGATGCACTGAAGTCCATGGTTTGTAACATTTACAGTGTTTTTGTTTCTCCAGCTGCTTGATCTGACAGAACGTCTGAGACAGGCAGCTGACTGTCCACATGCTAGGTTCCTGAGCCACCCTCAGATTCTTCAGCGAGTTTTAAACCTAAACCTGGTGAAGGAGAAGCCAAAGCGGCAGGCGGCTGCATCAACTCTTCCTCAGACTTCCTCTTAGAAGCGTCCATTTCTGCTGAACCCTCAGACTCCAGCTGTCCAGCATCACCAGCTGCTACACTCTGAGCTGATTTCAAGTCAGTGTCTGTCTGTTTCTCATCAGGTTCTGTTCCTAGGAGCTGGCTACTTCCTGGTTGTTGAAGCTGCATGTGCCTGAGGGGAAAAAAAATTAAAAAAAAGTGTGAGGGATGCACGATATTGGAAAAGACATTGCGATTTTTCCAACCCTATTGTGCTGGGACCTAAAGTTTCTGTTTCCTATAATTGTGTTTTACCCAACATTGCCTCCATGCCTCTTAGTTTCTGTATTTGTCAGGCTTTAATTAGGATCCATGCTAAACCGTATTTTACCTCTTTTCCTCGTTTTCATCAGCACCCTCCTCTTCTAAAAATTTTTTAATAAATAAATAAATAAAAAAAATTGAGATTAATCGCAAAAATATCTTGAAATTAATCGCATTAAAATTTTTTAATCTATGCCCAGCACTAGTTTCTTTTCTTACACAAAGCCCAAGGATCCTTCAACATAAAATCTGTTTAGTTATTTATGGTTTACACGTTGATTTAGATTGCCTCCTACATCACAGGACCTGCGATGTGACTGTAGCGCACACGTACATCGCCATGATGATGCTCAAATAATAGATCAGCCCTACAAAGTATGCTTCAAATCAACTTTCTATTACCACACAGAGTCAGTGCAAAACAAGTGAAGATATAAATATTTACAAGTTCTGTTATGGAGACAAGACAGTCTGAATAAAAGCTTTAAAACAAGAGGAGAAATACCCTCAAGAATTAAAAACAGAACTCTAGTTAATTCTTGTTTATTCAAGAACTTGAGACCCAAAAGTGAGAATTTACCCCAATAAACTGACTGAACTCATTTACTCCTCACCCTGAACCAAACAATACGTAGGGAGCTCACTGGTTTGTACTCTGGGTTTCTGAAATGTCAGGACTTTTTAAGACCCTTTAAAGACCATTACGATTCAAATTTAAGACTTACGGGAATTACAGAAAATTTATTGTAAATTTTACTATACCTTGTCTGAACTTCTCAGACTGAACTACAAAATGTAAACCAAATGAAATGCTAAAATAGTAAAAAAAAATAATGTTGCTGGAAGAAGCAATGAACGAACAAACAGATTTAAGACATGACCAAATGTATTTTAAGATTTAAAATGGAAAATCTGGACATTTAAAAAAAAACTTCTTAAACTGAAGGCTTTTCATGACTTTTTAAGAGCCTGCAGAAACTCTGGTATTGCTGTTTGATACTAAAATCTTTTTATTATCTTAAACACCCAACTCCAATTATTGAACAATATAAATCGATACACAGTGATGCTGTAGTACCGTAATGTAATCCTGCAAAGAAACATAAATCATATCAGAATATTCAGTGTGGTTAATGCTGCATGAGCAATCAAAAATAGTAGTAAAGAAATATAAAGAATATTCTTAATTGTATTTCTGCTAAAGACAAGAAGTGCAACGTCAGGAGACTTTACTCACAATTTGTTTTGATCTTTGTCTTGAGCTTTCACATCTGCTGGGTTTAAGATGAAAACCTTTTTAAGCTCATTAAAACGCAAACGTGACTCAACTCCCAGTGAGAGAAATAAACTTACCCATTTCCTGAACCACTTGGCAGACGTGATCTGGTTTATCCGTTAAATGTTTAGTCATCAGATCACCACCAGAGGCGTCAACCAGGAGGTCACAGTTGAGACAGATGAGAGTCAGTCTGAAGAGAAAAAGAAGGATCTTCCTACAGTTTCTGTTTCAGTTGATTGTTTTTAACCTAAATGTAAATTTGTATCCTTACTCACTTTGCTCCCGGTGATTTTTTCTGCTGGTCCATTCTCAAAAATCTCTGTTTGCTGATGTTACTATGAAATCTAACAGACAGAAGATTAAAAAAAGTCACTTTTTTTTAAAGACTCTACGTCTAAAACTGGTTTAGAGAGAGCAGCTTTTACTCACTTTATCATGTGATTCCCAATAGAAGCTTTGCAGCTGGTCTGGTAGCTGCACGCTCCGCAGTGTGTGAGCATTGGAAAATGTGAGAAGAAGTGGTCGACCACAGTGTTGCACTCGATGCACGTGTGGAGGTCCCTGTCGATGCTGGAAAACATAGATGACATTTTTCAGCCACTCATCAGCGGTGTTTCAAATCTACTGAAAAATATTTGTGAGAAAAAATTAAACACGTTGAAAAGAATGAAAGTTATAAAAACCAAAACTCTTAGCAGTAACGTCCAGAATGAGTTATATATATATATATATCAGAAATGTCGTCTCAGGGCTCTGTACACAAAAAACTAAAAATCTAAAGAAGCCAACAGACTGTGTTGACTCTTCACTTCGTCAGTTTCCCATCCTGAGCAGCACATTGGTGACAGTGGAGAGGAAAAACTCCCTTTTAACAGGAAGAGACCTCCAACAGGACCAGGCTCAGGACAGGCAGCCACCTGCCTCGAAGGTTTTCTTAAATAAATGCCTAAAATAGCACAAAATATTTAGGTTTTGAAAATAAATAAATAAATAAATAATTTAATTGTGTGAATTCACACATTAAGTAATCAACCTTAAACATTCTGTTGTTCAGAAGGACAAAGCTGAGCTACCAGAGGTTCCTGAGCGCCAGGTTGTTTCTGGAGAGTCGACGCTGCTGCTGCTTTTTGCTCGGATCCGTTTTGTTCTTGTTTTTCGGTCCAAAGATTGATTTAGCTTTGGACAAGTTGGCCGAAGCTTTGAGCGAGGGTGAACTTGGTGGTTCTGCCCTGATGGTTATACCAGACAGATCGGGGGACATCATGGCGGAAGGTCCCTTTCCTGAGAAGGAGGCTCTGATCGTCACCTACCAAAACAGCAACACGAGTTTTGAAACGCCTCGTACTTTACAAATCTACGATAAACGACAAACTGATGACATCAGCACTGGGGCAGGACCTTTGTACCCGGAGGAAGACCCTCCAGAGCTTTAGGTTTCCTGAAAGTCTTGTGAAGGTGAGTCCTGTGGTCAATTTTCTCCTTGTAGGTCAGGAAATTCAGTCTGCATCTGCCACATCGATGGATCCCTTTTTTCTGGAAGAAGGGTGCACATAAAAAATGCAGAAATGTGATTTGAGCCCAAATACTGATTCAGAAGTCAATAAAAGTTTATGACAAATCTGAAAATAATCAACTTTATTTCTTATTAAAAAGGGACAATTAACACCACTTTATTTTCACCTGACAAATTGCTGCGTATGCGTCTATGTGTGCTTGTCTGTCTGTTAGCAAAATATCTCATAAACCAGAAGACACATTTTAATGAAACTCAAAGACATGACTGAATATACGTCTACAGCTAATTTACCTTTGGAGTTAACCCTATTCAATATGGCCACCATCTTTAACAAATGTAAAAATGACTTTCTTTTCTTATCTTTTCAATCCTGCTCAAAAGAAACACCCTACCTGATGTTTCATGTAGTGCTGCATGTATGAATGACAGGATCGAACAACTTTCAGACAGAAGGGACAGAGCATGTCTTTTGTGTTTTCGTGGACTCTTCGGAAATGCGTTTCCACTTCTGAGAAGAAAGACGACCTGAAATTGCACACCTGTGGAGTCGAGTCAATACAGTCAGTGTTTTGTACACTTTAAAAAATAAAATTAAGTAAACAATAAGAACAAGCAGTTAGACCTGGCAGACATAAGGCATTTCACCAGGTTTGTGGGTGGTCTTCATGTGTTCCAGCAGAAGCTGCTCTGACTCAAACGCCAGCTCGCATATCTTACAATTAGCTGCGAAGGGAGCAGAGGGGACAGTTTATTGATAAGCTTCTCATCACATCCAGACTGAGCCTCCTTCAGAAAATCAGATTTTACTTGGAGATTCAATGGGGCTGTGAGCACTCTCGATGTGGCACTGCAGCTGGAACGGAGTCATGTACTGTCGGTAGCAGTGGTGGCAGGTCGTGTGGCTCTCCCAGCTCTCGCTGTTCTGCTTTTCCAGCTCCAGGTGGTGTTTCATGTGGTTCATGAACCTGCACGGGAACACACACACACACACACGCACACACACACACACACACCCCAAGTGAAAATGAAACTCTTAAACATGCAGAATCCCAACAACCATTAGGCAGAGTTTTGTGGCGATGACTGCATAAGACAAGACAAGCACAAATAAAAAAAATTAATAAATGTGAGAAAAAGTCAACATAACCTGAACAGCTGAAGCAAAACAGAAAATAATAATTATCAAGTATTCCTTGAAGGAATGCATATCGCCTGCCACCTTTCAGGTCAGAATTTAACACTAAGATCATCTTCGTAGAAATTTTGGGCAGAATTTGAGTCAAATAAAGGAGATATTTGAGTCTATAGTAGGGTTGGGCATAATCGTATCGTGTGCAATTAATCGTCAGAAAAACAATCGATTGTTTTTTGGCCCTTGATGATTAATATGGTTAATGTCACCAGGCAGAGACCGCTTGGTGCTCCTCTCCGCTTCAAATATGACGAACATTAAGAAAAAGTTCTGTAATTTATTTACCTATCAACACAATTTTAAATCTGATGTACAGGTATAGCCTGAAGTCTGTAATTTTGGCATAATTTGGAACAGATTTTTATGAAGAGCAAATCTTTCCCACTAAATTGGTCATGTGACTAGGACATGTGACCAGGAATTGGTTCCAGTGGCTTATCAGTTGTACATGTACAGCTAATTATGATTTTCTAGAAAATTTATTAAAGTCTCTTCAACATTTCATGAGATATTTTGCTGACAAAGCAGACTCCAAATAGTTAATGGCAAAATATTAAATTAAGGTTAGCGCTCAGAATGTTTCTTGTGAATGACTCAAATACAATCATTTAGCATAACTTTGTGCTTATTATGTAAAAGTGGGTTAAAAGACATTTTTTGCGTTTGCAAAGGATGATAATCTGTGGCGACCAACTTGCCCCGATTGTGTGATATTTTGCCAACATTACAGAAAAACACACACAGAAACATAGACAAAAGAATTATCACCTAATTATTAAACGAACAAAAGCACAAAAAAGAGCTTTTGACTTTAATACTAGAGGATCTCTTCATTTTTCAAGCATGTAAAAGTAATTAAAATGTGAAGGATAACTTCATTATTCATGTCTTGTGCTCATGACTCTCTTCCCAAAGGTATTTAAGATAAATGAAGAATTCGTCTCACTCCTTATTTTCTAAGTATGTATAATGGGTGTCATAATATCAGCAATTACACGAAGATTTTTGTTTTGTGTAATGATGTAGTGCTCCGCGGCTGCTCCACAGAAAGCTGCCGCCTCTGCCCTGACGAGGCGCGCTTCATTTTTCAGCCCCTGCATTCTGCTGCCTCAGCTCCCCAAACAAAGATTTTCATGTGGATGAACTATGACCCCGACTGTGAGAGTGCCGCCGCAGTACAAATGTGCTTCCCCATTAAAAGCAGCTTACAGACCTTTTTTTTGCAGTGTTCCGAAGCAAAGTTATTTAATCACAGGAGCAGTTTTTGTGCCACGCAAACTARCAGTCATTTTTCACCTACAGGCCCAAGAGGGAAAACAGTCTGAGGGTGTCATCCATCTGAGAGGACCTGTTCTTTATTGGCACAGGACTGATATCTTTTTGTTGGCTCCTTCAAGGACTTGCCTGCCTTTTGACTGAATATTTGTCAGTACGACACGGTTCCTGACAAATAAAACTGATTTTTCAACAAACCAGAAAAAACGGTCTACAAAAACTCATAGAAACAAAATGCCTTATACCTGATGTTATTTTTGAGAACTTTCAAACAGCTTTGGCATTTGAACGTTGTGTTGGTTTTTTGCGCCGCCATTTTTATCGGATCTCCCTCGAAGCGGCCGTAGTAGAAATCTGAGACCAGCATGATGATCTTGTGTGGACCCGTGCTCGGAGCAGACGGAGGCTGACTTGCCACAATTCCACGGCAGCACTGAAATAGAAAAAAAAGGTGGTTTAGCTCTGTAGCCCAGATAATCTAATTTATTACAGCAATGAGGATCACATGCAGGACATCTTAGCGTAATCTTGAAAAACATCTATGTAAATCAGGTTATTGTTAGTTTATAGGACATAAATACTTATCTGATAATTTAACCTGTAAAGTAGACAAACATATGTTTTGTAGGGAGGTGATTCTGGTACATTATGGTCCACTGTCAGGCATACTGACCATTATATGAAACTTGAGGGATTCCTCTGACAGAAATTCTTCTCGACAATTGGGACAGTTTTTCTTTGCGATGCCATTTTCCATCCGGATGGTTACTTTTGCCGGTGCTATGAAAACCGACAATTAAGAGTTATTATCTACAGCTACGATTCTTTTAAATGGTTCAAAACATCAAAAATCACTTTAAAAGGTAGTGACTTACTGAAATCAAGCTTTGTTTTTTTGACTACACTATCTACTTCCTGTGACGTCAATGCCCGCTTGACTGTAATTTGATCTGAAAGAAGTCAAACCAAAACATTTACAACTTGCTCATTGGCAGCTGATGGTAAAGTAAAGCGAACACCACAGTGAGGAAATCACTTTTGTTGACGATGTTATTGTCCTTCACAGGCGCAGCAGGGCTCATAGAAACACCCGGAACAGATTGTGAGATGGGCCGTTTGAGCTGCGGCTGCTGACCGGGTTTTGCTGAATACATCGCAGGGCTCTGGACATTAGATAAAGTCACCACGTTATTCTTGATCTGTTGGACCTGAGGCCTGTGGACCCCGCCTGGTATCACAGACGGCGAAGACGCTTGCTGGAAAATTTGCGAATGAGGGGCTGAAAGACGGGAGGACACAAACCTGGGATCAGCAGGAAAAAAAAAAAAAGACAAAACTGTTTTGAGGCGAGTGCAACAAAAGCATCTGAATTTACCTGGTACAATTGTAAAAGATGTTCCAGGGGGATACTGAGCCCCAAGGGCGGCAATAAGATCATTGCTGTTTGTTAATTGTGGAGAAGTGACAATAAAACCCTGAAAAAAAGAAGAAATAAAATAAATCCACTACATGAAATAACCGTGAAAACCCACTGGTGCATGGGAAGAACATGCAAACTTCACCCTTTCCTGTGAGCTTCTTGCTGAGAGGTGAGAGCTCAAACAACTGCACCACTGAGCCCCTTTCCAAAAAGGTAAACTACCTGATTATTAACAATGACAGGCTGCGGGGTCATTGTTGTCAGTGTGGGTGGTGCAGGTTTCGCTGTGGGCACAGGAACACTCAGAGGCAGAACTACCGGTGAGGGGACATCGACGGACTGAGGAGGGGCTAGTTTTGTTTTCTGCGTCACAACACTGTCCTTCCGACGAGGTGCTGGTTTAGTTTTATCATCTTTTTGATTATTGGCTGCAAAAACATAAACAGAAGCATTTAGTCTTTACAGGTGGAAAAGAAAAAACAACAAAAACAAAACAGGTGCTTAAAAGCTTAGCAGGTAAAAAAAAAAAAAAGCTAAAACATACAGAGCACTCCAACAAAGATGGGTTCGTCGTCATCATCCTCAATCAGGTGAACCTGAGGTGCTGGTTTCTGCCACGGCTCCAGGTCCTCCTCCACGCACTCCATAAAAAGCTCAGACATGGTGAACCTGAAACAAAGGAACAGCTGACAGTTGTGACCACTGAGGACGAGAAAACTGGTCAAGCTCATCGCGTACTTCAAAAGAAATGAGAAAATTCTTGTTTTCTCCAGGTGACAAGAACAAAATCCACCCTTTTCCAACTGAGCACCATGGCCTCAGATTTTGAGGTTTGCAGCCGCTTTACACTTGGCTGCAAAGCGCCCCGATGAAAGCTGGAGACCACGGCACGAGTAAGCCAACAGGACCACATCATCCACAAATCGCAGAGATGGACTCCCTCCACCCCCTGACTAAACCTTATTTGATCTCAGAGTTTTAAAAACAATTTAATTACCTCATGTATTATTTTATTGTTGAATAGTTTAGATAGTACAGCGGGTAAAATACGTATTAAACACGTCACCATTTTTCTCAGTAAATATATTACTAGAGGCGCTAATGACATGAAATTTTCACCAGATGTCGGTAACAACCCAAGTGATCCATACATACAAAGAAATCAAGCCAAAAATGTCCAGAAATGAAGTTAGTGTAATAATGTGGAATGGCACAGGGAAAAAGTATTGAACACATGAAGAAAAGGAGGTGTAAAAATGCATGGAAAGACAAGACACCAGCTGAACTCTCTCAGTAACTAGAAAGCAAGCCTGCCGCTTGTCAGTGCAAGTTAATATCAGCTGGTTCAGTCCCAAATGATGGCCAGGTATCACACAAGAACCATCTGATGATGGGTAAA